AAAAAATAGTCATTGTAAATTGTTTACACAAAAAGTTTTTAGTAAGCTGAGTCGCAGTGTCCTTACCTGAAAGTTATAGTTGGTATCATAGTTTATGGCACCCATGTATGCCACAACTTGCAGTGGATTGTCAAAAGTATTTCGGATATGTGGTTTTGGTTTCTCCGACGTCTTCCAATCAATAACACATAGCTTGCCCCTAAAGGGAAACCAAAGGTTGTTTTTGTAACAGTTCAAATAAAAAACTATTATGTTAAGCCTTAGTAGATTTACGTACTGTTTACACCTCGTGACCCAATGATTGCTGCTTCTATTCTCCACTTTACAAACAGACAGCTCCCCTGAGCTTACCTTCTTAGTGTTACTTAAGTGTGATGTTCTAATCCCTGTGAGCTCTTTTTTCAGTTCAATAATGAGCCCGTTGGGGAACAACTGAAAATACAATCACTAGAGCTACAGGTTCAGGCCTATGTGGGAGTGTTAGGAATATTTTGTGAATTTATTTTTTAATTTAATTAAAAATATATTTTATTTATCTATTCATACAAGAACTGGGGTGTAGGCCAGGGGTGTGGGGGTAGGAGGTGGTGAGAGGATTCCCCAGAGACAGAGTGGGGAGCAAAACAGGCATATTTATTGAAATACACTGCTGAGGGGAGAGATGATCAAGACAGGAGAGGTCTGCTGTGCCATGGGGGTTAACTCTCTGGCCAGGGATCAAATTCATGTTACAGTGGCGGAGGCTGTGTCTTTAACCCCTGTGCCACCAGGAAGGCCCTTAATTTAAATTTTAACAGAGTCAGATTTCCCCCTTATCCTGTTGTATTGCTTACATGATTTTTTAAAAAAGGGTTATATACAGATTATATGTCTTTGGAAGAATATGCTAGAAAATGGCCATCTTAGTTACACTGAAATACTTTCACTTTAATGATTTACAAGGGTTATGTGTTCACCCTTATCGTCTGTACCAAACCTAGTCTTTCTGCTATTATATGGGTTTTGATTTCACAGAGGCAGCACCTTGAAGTGGGTGAAGTAGGGTGAAGACCATCTGTATTATCCTTCATTAATTCACCTCCCACACTTTGATGGAAACCATCGAATACTTACTTATACTCAGCTACACAATCCAGTAGACCTACATACTTTAAAGTCTCATGTTGAACAGCACTTTCAAGAGCTTGCACTCCACTGACATCTTTTAGAATATGTTGGACACTTTTAACATAGCCAAGTTCAAGGAGAGTTTCATCTCTTGCTTTTAAGTTTCCCTGGGGTGAAAGTATGCTTTCCAAGGCTTCATGGAACTGTTTCCCTTGTGAAAATATGTCTGAAAAGAAAATGAGAAAATGAAAAATAAAAAAAGAGAAAAAGCTCACAAAAAAGAAAATCTCGGGCCCTCTCTGGTGGCACAGCGGGTTAAAGCACAGCACTAAGAAGCTAAAGCCACATCAGTATGGGTTTGATACCCGCTCCAGAGGTGATCCACATGGCATGGCAGACCTCTCCTGACCTGCCCGCTGCTCCCCTTAGCAGTGTACTTCATCAGTTGGCCTGTTCTGCTCCCCACTGTCTCTGGTGAAT